TGATGATAACATGTATAGTATTCTCAACTGGACTGGTCTGAGAAGTATTTCATGTTCCGTAAATTCTTTTTACAAGCCAAATGATATAGAGTGATTGAATGTTTAAAAAATAAAGAGAATAAATAATAATAATAATAATAATAATAATAATAATGAAGAAATGCAAGGACCAGCAGATGGCGTAGCGGTTATGCTGCTGGACTCCCACATGGCCAACCACAGTTCGAGTCCTGGACCTGGTGGCTTAAAACTCACAACAGGCACATGTGCGTGTGTGCTCAAGATCCCAAGAGGAGAATGGAGAAGGGACTGTGGGTGACCATCCCCTCTGGAGTCGGGGGGTAATTTCTCACTTTCCCTTTTACTGTCTCTGTGTGTGCCTCTCTCTCTCTGGCAAATGCACACACCCTAAGGGGGAAAAAAACTCTTAAAAAAAAAAAAAAGAAGAAGAAATCCAGCCTCCTCTTCTTCCTGGGCTTCACATCTCTCTCTCTTTAATTGTCAGAGGACGTGTGTACTCACCAGAGAGAGAGACAGAGACAGAGAGGGAGAAAGTACGTCCAATGGGGTGTGATCATGCTGCAATCCCTACTCCTCCGTTTCTCCATTCTGTTAGAATTTGGGGCACGCACATACCTGGTGAGTTTTCCAAGCCACTGGGGCCAGGATTCAAACTGCAGTTGGTCGTGTGGAATCTGTCTCCCTTAACCACTGGGCTATGGACCAGCCCTCACCCCTCTCTTAAAAATATAACATTAGTTTCGGGACCAGCAGATGGAGTAATGGTTATGTCGCTGGACTCCCACATAGTCGACCACCTTTGGAGTCCCAGACCTGGAGGTTAAAAACTCACACTGGGCACATGTGCATGCGTGCCCAAAATCTTGAGAGGAAATAGAGGAGAAGGGATTGCAGCATGAACATCCCCCCCTGGGGTGATTTCTCGCTTTCTGTCTCTCTCTGTCTCTCTGGCGAGTGCACACACCTTATGGCAAAAATCTTTCTTTAAACACACACACACACACATACACACACAGCGTAACATTACCCTGAATCATCCTGACCCCATTCAGCCTCCCTGCATATCCATGGGTTCTAGGGCAGGCAATTTAATAAAAGCATCCCCTGCATTGGCCCATCAGACACATCTGTGGACTGGGTCCTACCCGAGCCTGCCAGTGTGTGATTCCTGAAATGATTCCAGGAGCCACAGGGAAGGAAGCTCCTAATGGCTCCTGCCAAGGTCATTTCTTTGCTGGGATTTTCTTTGCCAGGGAGGTGTATGACCCTGGAATCAGTGAATTCCATTCCTGCCTCCATGGCTTCCAGTCTGTTTCCTCCTCTGCAGAATGAAAATAGCCTCACCAAATCGGTGCACTTCCGAACCCCTTCCCGAGAGCAACCGGGACCCCCAGGCAGGTTTGCCAAGGAGTCTCCTACCGACAGCAGCCACAGGGTTGGACCATGGGCTCTCTCACTGGCAGCCAGGTAAGTCTCCTCCCCAGGTCGTCCTCCCGTGCAGCGCCCCGCCTGCTGCAGGTCAGGGCGGGCCTGGTGGCTCGGGATGCCAGGCCATCTGAGGTTCAGAAGTGGCAGGGCTGAACCATGGGGAAGAAGCGCGACGCCATCCTGGACGCGCTGGAGAACCTGACCACGGATGAGCTCAAGAAGTTCAAATTGAAGCTGGGGGCGGCGCGGCTGCCCGAGGGCTTTAAGAACATCCCGCGGGGGGCGCTCGGGCAGCTCGACGCCGTGGACCTCACCGACAAGCTGGTCTCCTTCTACTGCGAGGACTACGCCGCCGAACTCACCGCGGCCGTGCTGCTCGACATGGGCATGCGGGAGGAGGCGGCTCGGCTTCAGGGGGCCGCGTGAGTCCCTACCCCGGGGCAGATCCCGTTCAACCACTCGGAATCCGGTGCCTGAGCTCTGGACCCAACCTCCTTTCTCCTCGCCCCCTACGCCCCCCTTCCTGTCCCCCTCCTCTTTCAGGCTCCTTCCTGGGGTCCCGGCTTCAGACTTCCGGCCACCCCTCCCTGCAGCTTAGGGCTGGGCTGGTGCGGACCCTGGCAGCTGTCTCTGGCCCCACCTGTCCTCTTCGGGGCTCCTGGGCCGCCTGGCACCCTGTTCCGTTTCACCAGTTCTGGTCTCTCTTCACAGATAAAAACGGACCCGGTAGGGAGTTCTGGGGTCATCAGCAGAGGTGAGCCTGGGCTGGGAGAGCTCGTGGGAGGATGAGGCTCAGACCCTGGGCTAGAGGCTACCAGCCAGGACTGGGCTGGACTGAGCAAGGCAGGAGCGGGAGGGATTGTGAGGCTGGACCTCTGGGGACGTCTGTGAGCCTCAAATACTGGCCTAAGGATGGTTCTGCCGCCTCCTCAGGAGACTGGGAGTCCAGGAGAGGAGGAGGGCGGTGCATACGAAGCCCGCCCCGCGCCCCAGTCACTCAAGACAACGGCCACGCCTTCCCGGCGAAGACCGGGACCCCTCTGCGCCTCCAGACAGCGCCTCCTCGCGCCTCCGCACCTGTCCTTTATTCTTCCCCAGCCCAATAAATACTTAATGGCACACCTTCCGGGGCCTGCGTGCACACATTCCCGCCTGTAGTCACATGCTGTGTGATTTGCCACCTGCAGTACACGTACGACCCAGCGTCTCCATCTGCCAATGTGTGGCTGTCTTTGCTGAGCACCCGTGGGGATCACAACCTTGGAGCATTCGGGACTTCCAGCTCTAACCAGAAAGACAGCCTGCGCTGGGACCTCTGTGCCCCCTGGGAGTGTGCACGGGCGTGCCTTACTCTCCCTGCCTCCCTTTTCGGTTCGGCCGGATCTCGCGACCCTCTGATTGGCCAGAGTAGGCAGCTTCAGGGGTGCGTGGGCCTCAACCAAACAGCTGCACACAACCAGAGAGCCCCACCCTGTGCTGCCTGGCCGCGCCCGCAACCCCACCCCTGTATAGTTTTACCCGGGCCCGAACCACGCAGAAGTGCCACCCTGACTGGGCCACCCTGCCCACCAAAGCGCGCGTGGGCTGCAAGCGCGGGTCTGGTCCCGGTCCGCCAGGCTCCACCCCCAGGTCATCAGACTTCGTCCGGTAGCAGCGCCCCGACATCTGTAGGCACTCCTCCACTCGGAAACTAGGTTTGCGCAGCGACCCTCCCGCCATGACCTGCCGGGGTGGGCATCCAAGGCTTCCCTCTGCCAGGCTCCTGCTCTCTCTCCTCACTCTCCCTTCCTTGGCCGCCGCGCCCCGCCCTCGTGCCCCGTGACTCCCGGCGCCCATGGGCCTCTGAAGCTCAGAATCCGAGCCAAGCGACCTCCCAAACAGCCAGTCCCACGCCATCCAACAATCGCCTCCAACCCGGACCCCACCCCGGCTTAGTCCCGCACCTTGAGGCGCGTATGGGCCTCGGCGGCAGGCAGGAGGCGGTGGCCACGGTGCGACCCGAGCGAGGCGCACACGCCGCACACAAGCGCGCGGTCCTGCTCGCAGTAGATGCTCAGCGGATCTAGGTGCTCCTCACAGTGGCCCTGAGGCACCTGCGCCAGCCCCTCCACCAGGCGCGCCAGCTGCTGGTTGGTGCTGAGCGCTTGCGGCCGTGTGGGTGCCTGGCAGCAGGGGCAGGGCGCAGTGCCGTCCGCCGCCGGCTCCCCTGCCACGCGGCCCAGGCAGGCGCGGCAGAAACTGTGGCCGCACTCGGTGGTCACCGGCGCGTCGAACAGCTGCAGGCACAGCGGGCAGGACAGCTCCTGGCGCAGGAGGCCGGGCGCGGCCGACATGGCGGGCCTAGGTAGAGAAGGGATGGGTCAGGGAGGCCCAGTGGGGCGCACTCCGTGCCCTGCCCTAGCCCGGGTCTGCAGTCCTGCTTGGAGCCCGGGACTGTAAAGACTTCACATTCCACACTGGAAGGGACTCTGTTCTGGCCGAGAGGAAAGGGGCACTCACTCCATCGCAGTCCCAAAGCAGACTCAACTGCAGTTCTTAGCCCCAGCCCCCAAAATTGGCCCAATCATGGCCCTCGTCAACCCCAGTTCCTGACACAAGCCCAGATTCCAAACACGGTATTATCCAAGATCTGCCCTGGCTTAGCCCCAGGACTCAGTCCCAGCCCAAATTCTCCAGAACCCCAACACTGGCCCTCCTACCACCCACCTCTTCAGGATCCCCAGCCTCCCCACCCCCGAATCTCCAGGCACAGAGGACTTACAGGTCCGGTTGGAGATCTGAAGTGGAAAGAGTCTCCCAGGAGGATTGGTCAGGGTCAGGCCTAACCTTAGGGGGTCTGAGCTGTGTCCCAAGACAAGGACTGAGCAGCAGGCTCCGAGCAAGGACAGCGGACTCACAGGGGCAGCACAGTTGATGACACACAGCTGACAGTGAACAGACCCTCCCAGCTGAGCCATGGCCCCTGGGCTATATTTAGGTGCCCAGCCGAGCCCCTCCCATCACTTCTGGGACCAGTTCTAAATGTGAGGACTGAGTAGTTGACGGGCAGACATCACATGTCAGAGCCACCTGTCCTGACCCATCCACTGTCCTGTCCCCAACCACCCTGGAGCCAGAGCTCAGAGCCAGCTGGAAGACAGAAAAGACAGAAAATTGGTGGGGAAGGGGTTGCTGGGGGTGGGTCCCTCCTTTCGCCCCCACCCCCATATTCTCCTGCTTCCTTCTTCCTTCCTGTGGCCCCTCCCCAGCTTGTCACCTGCTTATCCCCCATGTTTATGGCTCATCAAGGTCACACTGGCAGCAGTTTCTCTACCTGCAGGAGGACAGGATCTCACCCCACACTTAAAGGTTTTTTCTTCCAGAGCTAAGAAGAGGGCCTTTCCCTTGTTGGTCTCTCCAGCACCCAACACAAGGCCTGGGGCAAAGTGGGGCTCCCTCAAGGCATGGAGAATGGATGATAGAGACAGTAAATGAACTAAATCCAGAACCTGCAGCCAGCCGGGAACTCAGTTGTGCCCAGGGAGCCTTAAGCCTTTTCTTATGCTTATCTTCTTTCAAATTTCAGTTTAAATTTCATTCAGAATAAAAAGCAAAGTCCTCCTTGTGTCCTACAAGGCCCTACCCAAACTGACCCCATTCATCACTCTGACCTGTTTGTCACCCCTCTCCCCCTGATCACTCCAGCCTTGGGGACTTTGCACTTGTCTGGAAAGTTTTATTATTCTTTTGTTCGAAGCAATTACCTACACAAACACTGATACTGCATGCTCCCTCCTGTCCTTCAAATCTTTATTCAGTGTTACCCTCTCAGCCAGGCTTTTCCTAACTCCATGATTATAAATTTCGCTATAGGGTGCATGCGCTCGCCAGAAAGACAGAGAGAGACAGACAAAAAAGCGAGAAATCACCCCCCAGGGGTATGGCCACGCCACAATCCCTTCTCCTCCATTCTCCTCTTGGGATCTTGGGCATGCACACATACGCGCCCTGTGTGAGTTTAAGTCACCGGGTCTGGGACTCGAACCGCAGTCAACTACGTGAGAGTCCAGCAACATAGCCATTACACTAACTGCTGGTCCCAATGATTATAAATTTCATATCACCCCACCATTTCCCCTCCCTGCTTTTTCCGTAATAGCAATCACCATCTGATTTTGCCCGTTTTTTCCTTTCTGATGTCTTCTGCCAAAATACAAATGTTGTTCACTACTTGGCTCCAACTTAGAATAAAGAATGTGGCACACAGTAGGTTCTCAATAAATACTTAACGGATGAGTGCATCCACAGACTTGGTCTCCCTCAGGTGGGCTCCTGGTCTCTTTCTTTCAGCTTCCCTCAGCCCTTACTTAGTTTTGTTCATTCCTCTCTCAGCTACTCACTGTCTCTCTTAGTCTGAATCTGTTTCTGTTTCAGTCTTAATCTCCCTCTTGGATTTTCTCTTTGCCTCTCTTGGATTTTTAATAACCATTTTTATTAATTTTTAAGAGAGTTTTGCAATAGGGAGTATGTGCTCACCAGCGAGACAGAAAGAGGGAAAATGATAAATTGTTCCCCATGGGGAATAGCCACACCACAATCCCTTCTTTTCCATTCTCCTCTTGGGATTTTAGGCATGCACACGCATGCGCCCAGCGTGAGTTTCCAGTTACCAGGTCTAGGACTCAAACCATGGTCACCCACATGGGAGTCCATCACCTTAACCACTACACCATCTGCTGGCCCCACCATTCTTATTCACTTTATCCCAAATGTGCAGGTGAGTTGTTCTGGATCAGAGTCAGACTCCTTATTAAACAATTCACAATAAATAGTGACTGCTTTGGACCCCCTAAAAAGGTGTAATGAGAGCCAGACCTACGTGAGTAGTTGTCCTACATGAGTAGCCAGGCACCATAGGTGAACCACAGGAAAAATTGCTAAGACATGGAACCAGCTCAAATGCCCAAGAACGGAAGACTGAATTGAAAAAAATGTGACAGTGGGTCAACAGGTGGCATGGTGGTTAAGGGGCTAGACTCCCACATGACCAACTGTGGTTGGAGTCCCGGACCTGGAGGTTTGAAAATCGCTCCAGGCACATGTGCATGCATGCCTAAAATCCTAAGAAAATGAAGGAGAAAGGGGTTGTGGCATGGCCAACCCCTGCACCCATCCCCCCCCCAGAAGGTGATGTCTCACTTTCCCTCTCTCTGTCTCTTTCTGTCTCTCTGCAGCAAGTGTACATGCCCATGGCAAAGACCTTAAAAAAAAAAAAAAAAGTTACTTTGTAAGGTGAGGGGCTCACACCCAGAAGGCATCATATCTCCACCAACCTCTTTGGCTCTTGTCCAGGGGTGGGAAGGGTGAGCCTGGGCTGAGATCGAGAGATTCTTTCCTTCCAGGGGTCAAAGCTCAGACAGGGCACCTCATCCAGAAAGAGAGGCTGGGAGGAAAAGGGAGTGTCATGACTTCCCAGAGAGTGTCCAAGGCTCACACTTCCCACCTGAACGGGTGAAAACCACCCTGGCAGCCTCCAGGAGCCAGGAGGTTCTGCCCCCACCTCACTGGGGAACCCTTCTCAGAGCACTGACTTCCCCACAGGCTAGGGAGGTGAACATGTCATTGACACAGAATCCAGATCCAAAGGCGGGCCATCACCTAAGTGTCCCTAAGTCACACAGCTAGGAGAGAGAGAGGTTGCGAATCACATCTGAGTGGCTCTGACACTCCTTGTCTCCTGCTCGTCCCACTGTTCCACATCTTCTGAATGTACTTTGTAAATGCCAGAGCATTGTGCAACTAGAAGGAAGTTAATATCATTACCACTCCTATTATTGCAACATCTACTCTCCTAAGGTGTTCCTGACAGCCTGAAGAAGGCACATATTGCCTGCACACATAAACTCTTCAAGCAATTTGCCAATTTTAGAGGGCAAAGAGTGAGACTTGGAGGATGCTGGTTGGAATTTGGACTTAAGAGCCACATGGATATGGTTCAATCTGTGTTTTGTCATTTCTTAGCTGTGCAGGCTTCCAGAGTAATTTCTGAAAACCTGTTTGCTCATCTATAAGGTGGGGATGAATATACCTACCTTGTCGGGTTGGCAAGAGAAGTAAAAGAGATTATACATTTAAGT